CCCAACCACTAGACCATTGGGATAAAAGGGCTTGTTAAGTAGCGGGTCAGTGCGCCCATAACCCTCCAGGACAACGAGCCTGTATCCCTTCCCTAGGATCAATCGAGGATCACCAGTGGACCTCTGACACCCCCCCGCGCTGAGATGCCCGAAGTGCACACACTGGGATTCGAACCCGAGACCTTCGCTCTGATACCATGTCAGAATACTGAACGAGAATGAATGAACTAGCAATGAGTTGGGTACAAGTACTAACCCTAATTGGGTTGTACCCCTTATGGGCTACCCCACTACAGCCTACACAATGTAAGCTAGATATGAGTTTGACATTTTGTTCTGTTTGTTAGTGTCAGGACACGTTATCCAATCTCCCAACACATTTTCAGCTCATTGCACATTGCCTAGCTTGATTTTTCTAGCATGGATTCAGTGCAGAACTGCCTGGAATCAGGTTTTCATATGAAATCACCTAATTCTACTTGGGCAATTGACTTGATTTTGATAGGGCACGCTCATCACACTCATTACGCATCCCCCTATCAAATTCACCTCATTTCATCAAGGTTTGCTGTGGTTTTCATGCCTTGTTCTACAGCAGACTGCAGATTTCTGTGCAGAATTGCGTGGAATCAGGTTTCATGTAAAATCACCTACTTCTCCTTGGGAAAATGACTTGATTTATATAGGGGACCCTCATCACACTCATTTCACATCCCCCTATCAAATTCACCTCATTCCATCAAGGTTTGCTATGGTTTTCATGCCTTGTTTTACAGAAGACTGCAGATTTCTTTGTAGAAATGCCTGGAATCTGGTTTGATGTAAATTCACCTACTTCTACTTGGGAAAATGATATGATTTTGATAGGGGACTCTCATCACACTTATTCCAGATCCCCCTATCAAATTCATCTCATTTCATCAAGGTTTGCTATGGTTTTCATGCCTTGTTCTACAACAGACTGCAGATTTTTGTGCAGAATTGCCTGGAATCAGGTTTCATGTGAAGTCGCCTACTTCTACTTGGGAAAATAATCTGATTTTGATAGGGGACTCTCATCACACTTATTTCAGATCCTCCTATCAAATTCACCTCATTTCATTAAGGTTTGCATGGTTTTTCATGCCTTGATCTGCAGCAGACTGCAGATTGCTGTGCAGAAATGCCTGGAATCTGGTTTCATGTAAAATCACCTACTTCTACTTGGGAAAATGATCTGATTTTTATAGGGGACTCTCATCAGAATTATTACAGATCCCCCTATCAAATTCACCTGATTTCATCAAGGTTTGCATGGTTTTTCATGCCTTCTTCTGCAGCAGACTGCAGATTTCTGTGTAGAAATGCCTGGAATCAGGTTTCATGTGAAATCACCTACTTTTACCTGGGCAAATGAACGAATTTTCCAGATCCCCCTATCATTTTAACATTTTTCTATAAAGGTTTGGGTGTGTTTTCCTGCCTTGTTATGCAGGGGGGTGCAGAATTCTGATGGTAGAATCGCCTAGAATCAAGTTTCTAGTGAAATCACCCACTTCTCCTTGGGCAGGGGGTCTGAATTTCATAGGGCACTCTCATCAAAACTATTCCTGATCCCCCTCTCAATTTCAAAAAAAAATATGAAGGTTTGGGTGTTTTTTCCTGCCTTGTTCTGTAAGGGGGTGCAGAATTCTGATGGCAGAATTGCCTGGAATCAGGTTTCTAGTGAAATCACCCACTTCTCCTTGGGCAGGGGATCTGAATTTGATAGGGCACTCTCATCACACCTATTCATGACCCCCCTCTCAATTTCACATTTTTCAATAAAGGTTTGAGTGTGTTTTCCTGCCTTTTTCTTTAGGGGGGTGCAGAATTCTGATGGCAGAATTGCCTGGAATCAGGTTTCTAGTGAAATCACCCACTTCTCATCACACTTATTCCAGAGCTCCTTATCGATTACACCTGATTCATAAAGGGTTGTCATGGCTTTCATGCTTTGCTCTTCTTGAGAGTGGCATTTTTTTCCATGATATCTTACAAGGAAGGATTTTAGCAACTGCTTTTGAATTTTTGACATTATTGGATATGAGATTTCAAAACTGACTGCTACGATTTGGTGATGCATATTGTTTTGGTAATTCACTTGGTTTCCTGTGGCTTCAGTTGTTAACAGCATTTTTTTCAAAACACCAATTTGTACCTAGGACGAGAATCGAAATACTCTATAGCCCGCACTCGGCCTGCACGGGGACTGGCTAATGTGATGGGGCGAACGGCTCTCTGCAGTTAGGTGTCGAAATTTTCGTCGGGAAACATGCAGAGGAGTCGCTTCTACGTGGCAACCTCGTGTCTGCCTGTCACACGTCCGAGGCTTCTTTTTTTTTTCACACGGTCAGACCGTGTACGTGTTATACGAGGACGCAACAGATTTTCGACCATATGATCGTTGTCAGACGGTACGTTTATGCATGCATTGCAGATAAGGTCGACGGAAGCGCAAGCATCATTGGTGGAATAACAATCTGGAAATCCACCGCAAGTTTGTCAGACGGTTGCTTATCTGCAACATTCATTAGTAGAAGAACAATCTGGAAACCTACTTGGCAGTCTTTTTGCCAGTCTAACCGCAGAACAGAGAATTTGGCGCGCAGATCATGACAACTTGCATGCGCAATCCAATGTTGCCTTTTTCGTGTAAGTAAGGTTGATCACGTGCGGTGAAACAAAGCGCGCCAAAAGCTGCGGGCGACATACCCTAGTCTACCGATTCATATCAAGAAGGTGTGAACACGCCGGGTTGAGTTGGGAGGCGAGGGTTGATTTCACGTTCGAGAGCCCATTTGGTTCCTCATCCTTGGCATTCTCCTCAGTTTCTCTACTCTATTGTAATCTTCTTCCTGGACTTCTCTCTCGTATCATTGCATAGGTCAGAGACCGCTTTGGATGCAAATTCCTCAAATTTCAGCATTGGTAGAGTTCTTACCGGTGTGGGATGACAGTATAACCTCTGCGTGGATTTCCGTCATAGGTTAGCCATGACCAGATTATTGACTACGGAGGGGTGTGGCGTGCGTACGACTCGGAAAGGCATCCTACGACAGCTAACAGAGTGGAACGAAGCTTTATTAGCATACGGCCTTCTGTAAGTTGTTTTCAAAACTCACGTAGCAAATCATAAACGCCTCTGCGTTCTTATAGTATCCGCCGACATCCGCCATACTAACCCCACGCTCGACCGTCCTCTGCGCAGTGAAGTTGCCAAGGACAATCTTGGCGCAAAGGAGCTTAAGGACGTGAAGATCCTCACTCCAAGCGAGCTCTAACGCTTGAGAAATGAGCAACCACGCAAGCCAACGTGCAGAAGGGGTTATCGGTCTTTGCTCGACTATCAGATGGTTATCATACCTCTTCTCTCTGCGTAAGTGTTTTATTATGTATATGATGAGTATTTCAACCACTCCGTACAAACCTACTAATCATTATATTTTTGGATGGCAGAGTTCGCGAGCCGCCCGGTGCATCAATCAGCCTTATGAACCCTAAGGATTTGCTGGCCCCACCGTGCGGCGACTACCGTACGCGCGTCATTCACTTCGACCCAAAGTCTAGGGTTCCTGGCCGTCGCCACACCCAGTTTGCTATCAACGTTTTTACGTAAGCGGTTTTTTTTTCATTTCTATTACCATCTGCCGTGCCTGGTATACATCATCTAACTACCCATCAATCCATACAGGTGGCTTGTTGAGTAACTGGAGGTCGAGTTCACAAGAGGCAGCGTATATAGTGGCGGCCATATGGGAGAGGTCATCCGCGACATGAAAATCCGTCTCAATGCTTTGGACGTCGAAGTTGGAGCGGTATGTGTCAATCGTTATGGTTGTTGAAGTTAATCCTGGCGTGAAACGTTATTGTGCACTAACACTTCTCCTTGTTTCTGTTGTGGTATAACGCAGATCAACAAGGTGCAGGGGCGGTATGAGGTGGGATCGGGCCTGCAAGTGACTCACCTGTTTAGCAAGCTTTTGGACAAATGGGGGGACCTTTTGGCGCTGCAGAACAAAGACAACATGATCAATTTGGGCGGTGGTAAAAATATGGCCCACGAAGTTGGATGTATGCTCGTGAGTAGCTGTCGTGCTTGTTTCAACCATTTCGAAGAGGATGCTCCTGCGGTAGGGAATGAGGCGACCGACGAGGTGGAGACGATGGAGGAATGTCAGAGGTCCACTGGTGATCCCCGATTGTCCTGGGGGGTTATGGGCGCACCGACCCACTACTTAATAAGCCCTTTTATCCCAGTGGTCTAGTGACTGGGATTCTGACATGGTATCAGAGCGAAGGTCTCGGGTTCGTATCCCAGTGTGTGCACTTCGGGCATCCCAGTGCGGGGGGATGTCAGAGGTCCACTGGTGATCCTTGATTGATCATAGGGAAGGGTTACAGGCTCGTTGTCCTGGGGGGTTATGGGTGCACTGACCCGCTACTTAATAAGCCCTTTTATCCCAATGGTCTAGTGGTTGGGATTCTGACAAGGAAAGGGTCGAAGATGCGGTGGGGAACCAGGACGGGAGAGTCAGGAGGACCGAGGGGGTGATGGTGGCGTCAGTGCAGAGAGGTGCACGCGAGGACGAGAGGCGTAGAGAAGGAGCTGCGGCAGTAGAAGAAGCGGCACCAAGGGTTGCGGAAGTATCTTATTCGCGGAGATCCCGAGCACCTAGTCCGGGAGAATGGTCGGCTCAAGCAGATGAACGGGCGAGGAATGGCGCCCGTCAGCTCAGGTTTTCGGAACGTGTTAGGAGGTCTGCTCGTTGTGAGACGGAGACGCAGAATAAGGGGTGGGGACGTTGGCTGGAAACTTGCAGGGTATAGACGAGGCTGTGCAGACATTGGAGGGGGTATTGGAAGAGGAACGTGATAGAGGTGGAGGAAGGCAGCTCAGGTATGCAGAAGAGGAGTTGGCGGGGATATTGGAGGAAGGCGAGGAGGGTGTAGAAGTTCCGCAACAGCCAAGTGAGGTGGAAATGGCTTCGGACCCTAACGTGTCCTTTCCGGGAGCACAAGAAATATGTGACGCGGCAGGTGCAGGCATGGGAGTGGTAGGAGAAGAGGATCTTGCCAGCAATGTGCGGCAGCAGACCGAAGAGGATGCGGGGTACTTGAAAGTTCATTTGCCAAGAGTAAAGTGGAAGGCGGTGGAAGAGGCACGGAGAGTGGACGTCGACGACCAAACGGCTTCCAAAGAGGCGCAAAAGAAGGTGGAGGAGGAGGTGGAGAAGAAGATGGAGGAAGAGATGCAGGAAAGCGCGGTGGCGGAGGCGAGGATGATAGCGGATGCAGAGACACCAAAGATCGCGGAGGCGGAGGTGGTGAAAAAGGCGGCGGGCAGAGGCGCAGAGGATCGCGGTGGTGGAGATGAAGAAGAAGGATACTGCAGAGGCAAGGAAGATCGCGGATGCAGAGGCGCAGAAGAAGGTGGAGGCAGAGGCGCAGAAGAAGGCGGAGGCAGAGGCATAGAAGAAGGCGGAGGCAGAGGTACAGAAGAAGGCGGAGGAAGAGGCGCAAAAGAAGGCGGAGGTAGAGGCGCAGAAGAAGGCGGAGGCGGAGGCGCAGAAGCTCGCAGAGGCAGAGGTGCAAAAGAAGGCGAATGCAGAGGCGCCGACAAGGGCAGCGGCAAATGCGCATAAGATGTCGGATGGTGAGGCGCAGAAGTACTTGGAGGCAGAGGCGCAAAAGAGGGCGGAGGCAGAGGGAAGAACAAAGGCAGATGCAGAGTCACATAAGTTGGCAGATGAAGAGCCGCAAAAGAGTGCGGATGCAGAGGCGCCAAAGTTTGCGGAGCCAGAGGCGAAGAAGAAGGTGGAGGTGGAGGCGCAGAAGTTCGCAGCACAGAAAAGGGCCGAGGCAGAGCTGGAGAAAAAGGTGGAGGTAGAGGCGCAGAAGTGCACAGATGCAGAGTCACAAAAGATTGCGGATGCAGAGGTGCCGAGGATCACGGAGGCAGAGGCGCAGAAGCACGCAAAGGCAGCAGCGCAGAGGAGGGCGGATGCAGATGCGCAAAAGTTTCCAGATGCAGAGGCGCAAAAGTTTGCGGTTGCAAATGCGCAGACAACCACGGAGCCGGAGGCACGGAAGAATGCGGAGGCAGAGGGCCAGAAGAGGGCAGAGGCAGAGGCACAGAAGACGGCGGATGCAGAGGAGCATAACATCGCAGAGGCAGAGGGGCAGAAAAGGGCCGAGGCAGAGGCGCAGAAGTGCATTGCGGCAGAGGCACAGAATCACGCAGATGCGAGCGGCTGCAAAGGGAGAAACACAAGGAGGAGGAGCAGCAAAAGAAGGAGGAGGCGAAGAGGAAGGAAGCAGAAGACGCCGAGCGGCTGCAGAGGGAGAAACAACAGGAGGAGGAGCGGCAGCAAAAGGAGGAGGCGAAGAGGAAGGAAGCAGAGGATGCCAAGTGGCTGCAAAGGGAGAAACAACAGGAGGAGGAGCGGCAGGAGAAGGAAGAGGCGAAGAGGAAGGAATTAGAGGACGCCGAGTGTCTGCAGAGGGAGAAACAGTTCGAGGAGGAGCGGCGGCAGAAGGAGGAGGCGAAGAAGGAAGCAGAGAGTGCCGAGCGGCTGCAGAGGGAGAAACAGCAGGAGGAGGAGCATCGACAGAAGGAGGAGGTGCAGAGGAAGGAAGCAGAGGATGCCGAGCGGGAGAAGGAGCGCCGATTAGAGGAGGAACGCGTGCGAGAGCATCGGCGAGCAGAGAAGTTGGCCAGACTAGCGGCCTACGAGGAAGAACAGAGGCTTATGGAGGCAGAGGTAAAGGCTATGGCTGAAGAAAAGGAGCGTTTGGCGCGGGAGATGGAAGAGGAGGAGTCGACAAGGCAGGGAGAGGGGAGCGGGGAAACAAGGGAGGAGGAGGAAATAACTGAGGGGGAGATGAATGTAGGAGCTGCCATGGCTGTGGTTCTTGGACAGAACGGAGAGGGCTCCAGAAGGCAGCCTAGGGAGAAGGACAGGGAGCCGGAGGGGCATGCGTCTAAGAGACGGCGTGCAGCAGGCATACAGGAGTTGATACCGATAATCCTAGGGGGAGTTAAAGGGGTGAAGATAGACAAGTGTGACAATAGGAGAAACGCCCAAGTGGACGCTAATGGTATGACCTGGAGCGTGAGGCTGCCTTTCAGGGGAAGGGGTTCTCTCATCAAGGCGAGGGAACACTGCTGAAGTGGACGTCGGAGCAGACAGTCGGCGGCCGGAAGAGGAACCTGGCTCCCACAAATCCGTGTGGGAGAGGGGCTACACGGTCGCAATCTACTGGAAGTTTTACTTCCCGAATATTGAGATGCTCTCGTACGGTATGAATCCAAGCCGTTTACCCGCGTGGCGCGAAGACCTGCTGTTCACCACAATGCTTCCAACAGGGGTGTGGAGTGTCCTCAACGAACTGCATCTCGACAAACCGGACGGGAGAGTATGCTTGAGATGAAAAGTTGCATCTTCCTAACACACGCAAAATTATGTGGTTCTAATATACCTACATGGCTGGCATGTGCAGATTCTCCCTCTTGCAAACCAACACAGCTGAGAGGGAGCAGAAGAAGGATCACTTCCAGCTAGCTGTCTGCGCGGGAGTTGGGATAACTGCATGGCAGAAGAACGTATGAAGCGTCGACGACGAAAATGGGTATTCTGCATAAGAACACGCAGTCGAACTAGCTGCCACTATGTCTATAATGTGGGATGCCTCCACGAATGTGGAGCGAAGCCAGTGGTAGATGGGCGCATCATCTGCTGCGCTCGCAACTTCTACTACCATCGCATCTTATGCTGCACGCGCGGTGTCTGCTGCCACCGCCACTTCTGCTGCCCCAGCACTGTCTGCTGAGCCCACAACGTCTGTTGTCCCCTCATCTTTAGCTGCCGGCGAGACTTCTGCTGTGCCTTCTGCCCTTGCATTGCTTGCTGCATCGATTGTTTGCGTTGCAGTTAAGGCAATGAAGTCCGTCGCGGATCAGGCGCACGACAAGGAAGCCTGGATTCCGCCCCTTTCGGATGCGCTACTGAAAGAGCTTCAAGAAGAGTCGCGAGCGGGCGATGATACGAGGCGGATGACGAGGGTGGTGGCGAAGGTGTTGACCTCTTGGTGCCTATGCTGCATGGCATCTAGAGGCATTCGTGAACACCAAGGCGCCAGCCTCGACGTCCTGCTAAAAAATTTGGGCAGCCGGGACACTACAAGTGGAGCAGAGAAGGAGAAGAAGAGCAAGAAGTCGTCTGCGAAGGGGAAGGGGACGAAGGGGGCGTCAAGGGAGGAGAACACCAACACCGGCGGTCAGGAGTGTCAAGAGAATGAACGAGACGCAGGACAAGACGCAGGACAAGACGCAGGCTCACGCCTCTCTGTAAGACCGCCGTGTAAGGAGAAGGAGCAGGCAGTGGGGAGGCTGTCTCCACTACACGTGGAGCAGGCTGTCTGCGACTGATCAGGCGGGGGACACAGGAGGGGAGGAGTAAGGCTAGTAGAAGACGGGACACCAAGAACCTGCTGAAGCAGGGGAATGAAGTACGGTCATGGCCGCACAGTGCCTCCAGGGTCAACAGCTCCAGCTCCTCCAGCCCCAGCGCCTCCCGCACCAGTGCCTCCAACTCCAGCGCCTCCAGCTCCAGCGCCTCCAGCGTCAGTGCCACCCCCTCCAGCTCCTCCAGCTCCAGCGCCTCCAGCGCCAGTGCCACCAGCTCCAGCTCCTCCAGCTCCAGCGCCACCAATGCCAGAGCCTCCAGCTCCAGCAGCTCCAGGCTCCGTAGGGTCTCCAGCTCCAGCGCCCCCAACACCACCACTCCCGGCAGCTCCAGTACCCCTAGTAAGAGCACCTCCAGGACCAGCAGCCGCAGTACCTCCAGTACCACCAGCTCCAGCAGTAACTCCAGCACCTCCAGCTCCAGCAGCTCCAGCTCCGGTAGCTCCACTCCAAAGGCGTGCGCGCCGAACAAGCCACTCACGCAGCTTCTGCGGAGACAGTCTCGGCGAAGCACCAGCAGGTCCTCCAGACGAACCAGCACCCCGAGGCTCAGCACCTCCAGACTCCGCACCCTCCGACTCAGCACCCCCAAGCTCAACACCCTCAGGCTCAGCACCCCCAGACCCGGCACCCTCAGACTCAGCACCCCCCGGCTCCGCACCCCCAGACGCAGCACCCCTAGACGCAGCACCTGGAGCAGCACTTGAGCCGACAGCTACCTCAACAGGCGCAGTACCAGGGAGAAGGTTTACCTGAGACACACCTGAGGGAGCAGGACCCTGGGGGGGGGGAGGGGGTCTACTGGAGGGGGACCTGGAGCAAGGAAGAGCGGCGGGGGTGGGGGAGGAGCAGAGCGGTAAGGGAAGAGGCGATAAAAGGGAACCGACTCGTCAAACGTGACATCCTGAGACGGGAAGACACGGCGCGAGGTGGGGTGGTAAAACTGGCATCCAGGCGCGTCAGGGGGAAAAGCCAAGAAAGACGCAGGGAATAGCGCGGGCGGAGAGCTTGTCCGCAGACGTATCGCGAACAAAAGCACGAGAACCCCAGACCCGGAACACCGACGCATCGCCAACCTTCCCCGTCCAACGCAGTGTAGGCAAGGTCTCCGGGAAGGAGACATGGGGCCAGATGTTGAGCTGATGCGCAGCGTACCGGACAGCAAACGGCCACACAAAATGGGGAGCAGGCGCATGGATCATGGAGGTACGAGCGACCTCCATGACTAAGCCAATGCGGTGCTCACCAATCCCATTTTGCTGAGGGGAGTCCGGAAGCGTGAACGACTGAAAAATGCCCTCCCCACGACAAAAGTCCCGCAAGAGGTCGGAGGAGAACTCACCACCTCTGTCAGAGTGTAGACGCAGGACAGGAAGGTCCGCACGGAACCGCTCGCGGAGCTGGAGACGGACTGCGCGGATCCAAGGGATCAAGACATCAACGACCTGACCCTTGCTGCGCAAGGGGAAGACCGTGGTGTACCGCGTGTAGTCGTCAACAACCAGCAGAAAGTAGCGCTCGTGGCCCTGTCCACTGACGCGGGCTGGGCCCCACACGTCCATGTGGAGAGTCTGCAGGGGAACAGTCGTCGAGGGAAATGAGGAGTGAGGAGCGGCGCGCTGCCGCCCCTCGACACAAGGAAGGCAGGGCGGGGAAGGCGAGGGCAGTAGGGGAGGCAGAGTCCTGGGAAGACCAGAGACAAGGAGACGGGAGTGCATGCCACGAAGGCGTGGCAGGGAGGAGTGACCCAGACGGTGGTGCCACAGAAGAGTCCGGTGCGACAGGAGGCGACACGAGCAAGGGGGTGCTACCTGACCTGGCGGTGACACCTGAGCAGACGCAGCTACCTGAGGAGGCTCGGTAGCCAGTGTGTACAGACTCGACCCTGGCCGATGAGTGAACATGGCCAGGTGACGACCCGTCCGTGTACACGTGCAGATCGACACACGCTGACCCCCAGGAGTGGTGGTAGTGACCATCGCATCCTGAAGGGCAGCGGTACTCACCAAGTTTGTAGAGAATGAGGGGAGGTGAAGACCTGATAGTGAGCCGGACGGAACCGCCGGACACGAGAGAGCAGTGGAGGAACGGGCAACGACCGGGCCCCCGGAGGGGTCGACCAGTCGGACCGGGACAGGTGCAGGGAGAGGAGTGAGAGTGGTGCTGTCACGAAAGAAACAGAGTCCAGCGTGAAGGTTTGCAAGGCCTCAGCAGGCGCAGTACCAGGGAGAACAGACTCACTAGTGTCAAACTTATGTGCTATAGTCTGTTTAGGCTGTAGTGGGGTAGTTCTTATAGGGTACAACACTTTTAGGTTTGCTACTTGTACCCACCTGCTTCCTAGTTCAATCACTCATTTGTTCAATATTCTAACATGGTATTCTGAGCAGGTTCCCTAGTGGGAACGTTTTTTTAGGGCCCACCACGACTTTTTTTTTTCTGCCCTGCCCAAATCGCACCTCGCGCCTTGCGCCCTGCCCAAAGCGCGCCTCGCGCCCTGCCCTGATACGGCCCGTCGCGGCCCTGCCTTGCTGGCCCGTCGCGGCCCTGCCGTCGCCGCCCGTCGCGGCCCCTACTGCCGTCGCGGCCCCTACTGCCGTCGCGGCCCCACCTGCCGTCGCGGCCCTAACTACCGTCGCGGCCCCTACCGCCCGTCGCGGCCCCTACTGCCGTCGTGGCCCCTACTGCCGACGCGGCCCCTACTCCTGTCGCGGCCCCTACTGCCGCTGCGACCACTGCTGCCGTCGCGGCCCCTGCTGCCTTCGCGGCCCCTGCTACTGTTGCGGCCCCAGCCGTCGAGGCCCCTGCTGTCGCGGCCCCTGTCAACGCCGCCCCTGCTATCGCGGCCCTTGCTGCCGCGGCCCCTACTGTTGCGGCCCCTGCTGTCGCGGCCCCTGCTGCCGTGGCCCCTGCTGCCGCGGCCCCTGCTGTTGCGGCCCCTGCTGCCGCGGCCCCTGCTGTCGCGGCCCCTGCTGTCGCGGCCCCTGCTGCCGCGGCCCCTGCTGCCGCGGCCCCTGCTGTCGCGGCCTCTACTGTTGCGGCCCCTGCCGTCGCCGCCCCTGCAGGCGCGGCCCCTGCTGTCGAGGACCCTGATGTCGCGGCCCCAGCTGTCGCGGCCCCTACTGTCGCAGACCGGCCCTGCACCCGCCCCTGGTAAGCACCCGCGCCGCCCTGCTGCGCAGCGCTGCCAGAAGCCGAGCCGCGCCGCCCAGCCGAGCCGCGCCGCTCAGCCGAGCCGCGCCGCCCACTGAGCCGCGCCGCTCTGCCGAGCCGCGCCGCCCTACCGAGCCGCGCCGCCCTACCGAGCCGCGCCGCCCTACTGAGCCGCACTGCCCTGCCTGCACTACTGCTACTGCTGCTACTACTGCTTCTGCTGCTACTGCTGCCTCTGCTGCTACTGCTGCTATGGCTAGCCCTACTGTTCTCACCTTTGATGCTGAGGGACGTGCAGTTGACTTTGACGTGTGGGTTGACGACCTGCAGCTCTTTCTTCAGTGTGACTCTAGGGATGGGGTATCCCTTTTCGATCACACGTCCGGTGTCTCTACTGCACCTGCTGCCACTGCTGACAGTACGGTTCGCTCGCAGTGGACCACTCGTGGCGCTGTTGCTCGTCTTGCTGTTCGTAGTCACCTGCCGCCTGCTGAGCGCGCGCATTTTGGCCAGTACAAGACTGCTAAGTCTTTGTACGACGCTGTAGTTGCA